TTTGGCCTGTACCCCAGTTCTGTACGAATAAATAAATAAATCTTAAAAAAAAATGCTATGCAAGGACAAATGTTATTCACCATTCTTCTATAACAAAGTAAGTCTACAAACACAGTCATTGTTATGATCACTAGTTTTAAATAATCAGACTTGAGACTCTAAAACATAAGTTGGTAAAGTATTTTTTGTAAGAGGCCAAGAAGATAAAGACTTTAGACTTTGAAAACCATGTTTTGTCTATTGCAAATGTGGTATTGTAACACTAAAGAATCCACAGGAGTAATACTTAACGGAGTGTGGCTGTGCTCTGATTAAACTATGCACAGGTGGTGGCTGGCTTTAATCCACAGATCACAATTTTCTAGTCCCTGCTATAAAAATATCAACTGGTTCCCCTTGTTTTATGGATCTATGTCTAGATATGCATATGTGTCTTTATGTTTTACAGGTGTGTGACCATGTTCACATTCTTTTATACTCATATGAACATATCAAGGAATCAAACACAATTTCAGGCTTTCTTTCATAATTATTGGAAACATTTTACATGTCTGTTTCATTCATCATGTGTATCCAATGACTATCACAATGATCTTTCATTTAAGACATTTCAATGTTTATTGAATGAAGAACAACTGAGTCAAGTCTGAGATTTTTAATGTGCCAGTCCCAGCAGATGTCCATATGCCTTGAGTAGTTCCACTACATCTCAAATTACTTAGTTGTAATAACTCAAGTTCAATATGCTGGAAGACCAGAAATTGTCGTGTGGCAGGGTTCTCCTCTTTTTGCTGCAGGAGAATTATGGAATTTGTATTTGTATTATATGCCAGCTAGTCACATGGTCACAAAAGAACTGAGGCACTATGTCTACACATATACATAATGCACACACACACATATAATCAGTTTGCTCATTGATAGCAATGGAGATGAGAGTGAAGCAATAGGGTAGGTGGTTTGGTTTTACCCAAAAGCCAAAATTTTTGCATTTACCACAACAGGCTAAACTGGACATCAAGACAGCTTGACTTGGAGGAAGATATTTATTTTCCCCAATCCCTGAATGTATAATTGGAATTGATATTGCTGCTTGGAGTAACTCCCACCTTTAATTTTTATTCTAATAATTGAGAGCTGTCAGAGTAAGGAAGTTGAAGTGGAAGCTTCTGAAAGTGCACCTCCACTCTTACGCCTCTACCATTTCTCCCCTCACCTTCTCATCAGACTTGGCTAAATGGTGAATCAAAACATAATTTGCCTTGTGGTGGGGATGGAGGAATGGTAGCAATTGGTGATATTCTAGAGGATCTTAAGAAGGCAGGAATGGTATTCTGAATCATAGTCCCTTTAAATACCAGTCTGAGTATTGCAAAAAACACATGAATCTTGGAGAATGATGATAGGGTAATGTAAACTTTATTAATAATCACAATTGTAGTTATTGTGTGAGATGTGTTATCTCTACTAGAGCAGATTAATAGGAACTGATGTATGTGGTATGCAGACATTTGATATGACATTGTTTCTATTTCAATGAGGAACTATCTATAAAAGAACCAGAGATGATTAAGAAAAGTGTAAGTAATAGAAAAATGAAAAACAAACAAAAAAAGAACCAAAGATGGTTTGCATTGACATAGAACAGACAACAATATATATCATAGGTTTGTCTCTGTCATAATATAATCAGATGAAATCCAGGCTACCTGGGCATCCTGTACATCACATTGATCAGAAGGGTGAGTAGGAAGTAGTTAGCATGTTAGAATGATTGGTAAGATACATGTAGTACAGTAAGCTACATGGGAGTTAAATTTGGTGACAGTTGAGGCATTTTCCACTTTGATAATGTGTTTAGGAATTCAGCTGCATTAAAGGCATGTGAGGAAGTCTCTTTCAAAAGACAAATTATTGCATCTTACCTTTCCTTGCAGAAAAAAGAAAATAAATACTAGTAGGATTAGCTTACAGTGGCAACATATTCCACATCTAGCAATGTGTTCCAGGACATGTACTGAGAGACACAAAAGATCTCTGTTTAGAGTGGGGCTTGGAACAGGAAGTCAAGGCTGTAGTACAAGAAGTCCTGCTGCTTGAGCCACATGATCTGGCAAACTGCATGCTACTAGAGGTTTGAGCAGTAAGAGAAGATGAAGTATTGGGTAGAGATAAAGAGCAGCACAGCATAGACCTCTGGAGTTTTGGAGCAAAGCCATGGCATCTGCAGTAGAGACTAACATACTTCTTGAAAAAGCTTCCTGGTGTGTTATTGGAACCCAGTAGACACAAGAATTCTTGATTATAGAATACTAAGTCCACATGCATCTAGAACTCTCCATTATGAAGTACACTGTGTCAGACCCACAGAGTCACAAACTTGGGCAAGCCCAGCAGCAGCCTGAGATTAATTCTCAAGTGTTCATGTGGAATCAAAGGCGAGGCAAGACCATCAGATACAAGGCACTGGGTCCTATGTGATGAAGTGAAGAAGGAGGAAAAGTCTTCACATGATTTGTAGGGAGGAAAGCTCAGTGTTTGTGTGCAAGCTTGATTAGAGCAGTGGCTTATGGCATTCAGAGTGGAGGGGACTTAAAAAATAATGATAAGAGAGGGCCCCCCCCCCACCTGGTGATGCAGCGGGTTAAAGCACAGCACAAAGAAGCTTAAGCCACTTCCGCATGAGTTCGATCCCCGCCTGCCCTGGAGGAGATCTACATGGCGAGGCAGACCTCTCCTGACCCGCCCGCTGCTCCCCTCAGCAGTGTACTTCCTTGATCTGCCTGTCCTGCTCCCCTCTCTGTCTCTGGTGAATTCTCTCACCCTCCACATCTCTGGCCTGTACCCCAGTTCTATACGAATAAATAAATAAATCTTTAAAAAAAATAATGATAAGAGAAAAATCATCCCAAAGGATAAAATTCAATTTGATGGCACACATTATTCATATTATGTAGTACAGCAGTGCTCTGAGATGAGAGGTATATAACTTCATGGACAGAGGGAAGAGGCTGATAGACTGCAAGGATTTAGAAGTATAAGAATGGGAAAAATGGAGATAAGAACCCTGACATAGAGGAATGTGGATGCACATAAGGGAATGAGCTCAATGTGTGAAGATTTTTGACTCACATATTAATGGTATCAAAAACATCCATCACAGAAAAAAAGAGCTAGACAAGAAGAAAGTAGACACAATGACTAGGCCAGTTGACATTAGCCAGTCTTTGAATGGACACAAGACTTATGAATGGATGGACCATGGTAAGCAGCATCAGAGGCCATGCCTGGACTGTCACTGATGCTTCAGAAAGTGGAAACTGCCAGCATTGGAGAATACTGAGCTCCCAATCTAGCATCTTCTTCTAGAAGATGCCTTTTAATAGGTGATTTTTCTTGCATTAGAAATCAATTGAAATCTCATACGTTCAACACCTTCTTGACAAAACCTAGAAATTTTAGAACCTTCAGTGCTTAATTTTTGTAATTTTAGTACAAAGTGGAATATCATTTCCCAAATCACATTTATGCCTATTCATTTGAATGGACATAACTTTACAAATTAAATATTAATGTAAAAAAAATCATAACATTAAACTCCTAACTCAGAAAATGGAAAACAAGTAGAAACAAATTATTATCTCTTTCCCAGTTGTAGGTGAGATATTAAATCAATGGTGCATACAAAAATTGCTTAGCTTAATGTTAAACTTTTTTTTTTAAAGATTTATCTATTTATTCCTACAGAACAGGGGTACAGGCCAGAGGTGCAGGGGTGGTGAGAGGATTCACAAGAGACAGAGTGGGGAGCAGAACAGGCAGATGGACGAGGTACACTGCTAAGGGGAGCAGTGGGCGGGTCAGGAGAGGCCTGCTGTGCCATGTGGGTCACCTCCGGTGCAGGTGGGGATCGAACTCATGCTGAAGAGGTTTTGCTTCTCAGTGCTGTGCTTTAACCCGCTGTGCCACCAGGGAGGGCCCAGGAATTTTATCATCTTAGTGGGGATTGTTATAAGATGATAGGCCTATGTTCTTTTATTAAAAGAATTTTTAAAATTCAGTTTTCCTTAATAATTCTGTGTCAGCATATAGACAGCCAGATTGATGACATGTGCAGGACTGTTTTGTTCTTTTAACTCAACTTGTGGAGTCTACTCTAAACTAACTGGTATGTTTGCTCTATGTTTCTTGTCTTCTGTTCTTACTCCTTATAGTTGTCAGTGGACATGAGATTACTAGAGTCAAGGTTGAAAGAGTAACTAATCTAGATAAAGGGAAAGTTACTAAGAAGATATTTGGTGTTTGAGTGGCCATGGAAACTCTAAACTTACGGGATACTGAACTTTTATCTGGAAAACAATCATTAATAAGGGTGTGTGTATAACAATCTCTTCTTTTTTTTCTCTGTTCCTTTCCCTTGATTTATGAACATGGCTTAAAATAATAGTTCTATCCCTACTAAACTTAGCTTTTTGGTTCAAATGCCAAATAACTACTGTTAAGTCTTCCCAGTTTTTATTTCAAGATGTGACAAGTGAGACTACTGATATGACCTCTAAAGGCTAGTAAATTAGCCTTTTCTATCTCATCGCAGGGCAGAGAAAGAGAATGATTAGGAATCCAGAAGTCTCTATACAGTTCTGTGTGACAGTTTCCAGGGAAGTGAGCTAGACAGAATTTGCAACATCTAGTTTGAGCCTAAAGTAGATATGCAAAAATTATATCAAGTCTCACTGAACACCACTCCATGTTACCATTTTTATCCTGAGATGTTTACATTTGAGAGAGCATTCATCTTTACATGCTACTAGGGAAGATGAAAAGGTTCTTTATATTTTCCTCCTGACTTCTCTGTGCTAACTACTAAAATTATATTAAGCACACGTGTCAATGCTATTTCAGAGAAGACCAAATATTCATCCATAATGTGCTATTTTTCTTTAAGGCCAGACATATTCATTCATATAATGCTTTTTTTTTTTTTTTAAGATCAATGTAGAATGGTTGATCAGCTCCTGGGAACCTGGAAGTCTATTTCTTGTGAAAATTTTGAAGAATATATGAAAGAATTGGGTGAGTTATGTTTATTTGCACATGATATTCAGTGAAAATGGGAGCATTGGTACAGAGAACACACCCTGTGTAAAATGAGATTAATCTTGGAACAACTAATTCTTCACATATAACAAAAAGTATTGATTCAGACCCTAGTTCCAGTTTTGTGCAAAATCAGCTTGGGATTGTCATCATTCCTGCCCTCAGTAATTTGCTATGAGTTTAGAAGGTAAAACATGTATGTGCCATAGATAAACAGTAAATGATCTTATGACTTAAAACGGTCACTTTGCAAATACTTACTCTAAATCTTAATAATTATTTAGAATCTGCCTAGAATAATCCAAGGTAATCTTCCTATCTTAAAGCCCTGAATCAACCATATTTGCAATGTCCTCTTTGGCTTATAAAGTAACATTACAGGTTTTAGAGATTAAGATGTGAGTATCTTTGGGGGCCATCATCCAATTTATCATATATTTTCTTCATGATTCACAATATAAGCTCCATGAACTATATTATAGTTTCCCCTATTTACTTTCTCTTAGAGATTTAACTTAAGTATTCCTTTGTGATGTTACTTTTTTTTTTTTTTTAAAGATTTATTTATTTATTCATACAGAACTGGGGTACAGGCCAGAGGCTCAGGGATGGTGAGAGGCTTCACCAG